GAACAAGAATAATGTCAAGGATGGGCGGGGCCCAGATGGAGATGAGAATTGTAGTACTTAACAAAGTTGCTACAAATGATGGCTGTGATCCCATACCCAAATGTCTAACCTGTGCTCTGTTCCTTTTTCTAGAGAAAATGCCATAGAAAGACAAGTAGGGAGCACTGGAGAGATGAAAGGGTTATGCACAACCATAGAATAATTGCTAGTTTCCTAGAACACATACAAACTTAAAAAAAAAAAACACTAATAGAAAATTGTTATGCTTTGGTTGATACTGTGTCTAGTTGGTCTAGATTTTAGAATTTACATGACATCTGCCATCCTTTTAAGGCAAAAACAAAAGCCAGGTGGAATAGTCTCATTAACAAAATGAGTCTAAGGAGAAATGAGTTTGGGTCTCCTGATTATTTCATATTTGTTTGGTTGACTCAAGGATGAAATGATGAATATTGAGGAACTCATTAGATGAAATAAAGGATTGAGTTGTATTGATCAGAGAGATCAAACTCTGAGCTTGAAATAAAGGATCTTTGCTTTTACAAAAAAAAAAGGAATTAAATAGATGTTTTAAAGTCTCTAGTGCATTCATAAAACCACAGGGTAAAGTGGCTGTGTAGTAAAGGTCAATTGGATAGGGGAAATTGTCTTTCTAGAAATTTTTGTTGCAGTCTGATTGGACAGAAGAAAGCTTAAGATGCATGGTAAAGCTGAGCCCATAATAGGCACTCAGTACATACTTGTCGAATTGCATAGCCATTTGGAGAGATTAAGCTGCAAGGTTTTAACTTGTTATATTAGTTTTATAGAATTTCTCAAGCATTTATTAACCACATACTCATTCAAATATTCTTTATATCTGCAACTTAAATGGCCACATAAAAGAGTCTTTTAATGTGTGAAGGCAAGAAGATCAATTTTCTGGGTAATGAGATACATTAGGATTTAGTGTGTATGTGACATCACACTAATCTCCTAAAGCACATGCTGCCATAAACATGTACATTCACATGTGCACAGAGGCTTACATTTTGCAAGAGTCATGGGAGCCAATGTAAAGTCCTGTGGTAATGCTGGACGGAGGGATATGTCACTATCAAATCTATTTCCTTCTCATTAGGCCATTTTCCTTATGCTTTAAGTGACTGTATTCCAAACAGCTGTACCCACTGGCCAGTTTCCGACCAGAGTGACTGAACTTACTGAACATGGCCGTGCATGTTTTAATCTCAGCCCCAGAGAGGGAGAGGCAGGCAGGTCCCTGTGAGTTTGAGCCCAGCCTGGCCTACATAGTGAGACTCTCTCAAAAGCAAACAAAAACCAGAACGATTAACTTTGCCCTAGAATTTCTTTGATATACAGCACTATGAGGCCTAAAGGATCAGTCTTGACAGTTTTAAGCTCAGTGGACTACTATGTGTCCTCTACCTCTTAAAACTGTAACTGTGGGTGCTATTGATTTAAAAAATGCAACTGGACTTTCAGACTAGTTTATTAAAAGAATACGAAAGTACAAGTCAAATAATTCTTAACACTCAGTTTTTTTCTGGTGTATACCAATGTTATGAACAATGATAAAAATGTAATATAGGGAAGGACCTATGGTGGTTGTCGGGTTTTGTTGTTGTTTTGTTTTGTTTTGTTTTAACTAGCACTTGTTTTGCAGAAGGTTTGGATACCGTTCTCAGCAACCAAGATTTCTTTTCCCAATATTCACGTGTAGCATACTGGACATGTACTAACACACTCTGCTTATACATTTTATGCCCCTGATCAACAAGCACCATTTACCAAGGATGCTGGTGATAAGGCATGGTAAAGGACATAGACCAGATGACATTTGAGATTCCTTAGCATCCTTAGGCTCCCCAACTTGGAATTATGGGAAAATGCTGCATGCATTAATCATCTATGTTAACACATAGTTGAAAGAGCCCTATATAAGGAAATTTATCCCTAAGAAACGACAAAACATCATTTCTAGGAAGGTAATAGTATTTTTTAGCGGTAATTCTTTGGAAAGAAATCCACATTCCCTGCTTTTAAAACTGTACTGCTCCCCTCAAATGCTTTACACTCAGCCCAGCCCAGGGCTGCTAGTGATTACCAATGAGCAGTGAAATGGAGACGTTTTTTCATCAGTTAGAGGAGTTGTTCTCTAACTTGAGGGCACACCAGTCATGCATGGCTAGATCCACACCTAGAGTTTCTGGTTCAGTGAGTCTGGGGTGGGGCCAAGAGCTTGATTTCTGGCAAGTTCTTAGGTGATATTGATGTGCTGTTGATCCTTGGCTTACACTTAGAGAACTTTTCAGATGAGTGTTGTAGACAATAAAAAGGCCTCCCCACTTGGATTCCTTCTAGAGTTCTTCTCATGTGTCCCTATGAGCCTTGCTTGGGTTGTTGAATAGGGCCCCAGAGATGAGGTAAAGCATCCATCTGGGTGTGTTTCTGGAGGCAGGTGGGCCGGTTTCCTGAGTAGCGGAAGACCTGCCCTTGGTGCAGACAGCACCATCCAATAGGCTGCCGGTCCTGATGGAGTAATGACACAGTAGAAGCGGGAAACCGAAGTCTTGTTGATGAGCTTTTTCAAGGCAGTTTTCTCCTGTGGGTGCTTATGCGTATCAGATCTGCCTTGGCATCAGTAGCTCTTCAGCAGGCTTTTTGGCCTTGGACTGGGCCTACATCACAGGCCTGTCTCGTCAGCTTCAGCTTCAGCTTCTTAGATTTAGTACCTACTGGTCTCCCTGGTTCTCCAGTGGGTTGGTAACCATCATGGGACTTTGTAGTCTCTGTGGGAGCAAGTCTAATAAATCCCTCTGTAATTACTGATTTTCTTGGTTCTGTTCTTCTGGAGAACCCCAGTACAGGTCTCTTAGTTCTTTATACACTCGGCTCTTTCACTCAGAGGGACAGAGCATTGGTAAACATGCCAGAGAGGATGCATGGGCTTCTTTGTTTGGTTCTTGTGTAGAAGGAACTCTACAGAGAAAACACCCGAGACAAACCACCAGAAAAGTAGTAGAAGGAAAAGGGGAAATCCACCACTAGGAGCAGGAGTGAAGAAACAAACAATGAAGAGGCAAAGTCTAAAAATCTGCAAGCAGAAAAAACCCTGGACTTTAGCCCTAAACCTCCAAGAAGCATGTATTGATGAGTTGGGGCTCAAGAGGCATTGGTATGGGCTCTCTTGGCGTGTAGGGAAACCCACATGCCTCTCTCCTTCCAAAAGGCTGTACTCAGTCCAAGAGTTTTGAAAACCTATTTGAAATTAGCTGTCAGCCTCTGGTTTGTCCTCTCAGCCTGGGAAGAGAACACGTTTGTAGTACTACAGCATTTTGAGAAGTTCACCAATGTTCTGCCTTTGAAGTGGCACCACATTTTCTTCTGATCATGTTCACTTAGACACAGTTTCTCATTTGATCAAGTCCTTATATTTTGCTCTGGTATTCATTATATTTCCTGCTTATAAACTTAATATCTTGGGGTGTTTATTTTTGTACCAGGCAAGAAATTCTTCTAGAATGATTAATGTTAGCTTCTCATTCTTTTAAAAAAAATCCTTGAGTGAGTGCACATACATGTACATACGTTCTTGTGTGAGTACAAGTCCTCGTGGCAGAAAGGTCAGAGGACAACCTGGACTATCAGTCCTCACCTTCCATCTTGTTTGTTACAGGATCAGGAAGTTCAGTACTGTGTATGTGAGGCTAGCTGTAATTCTCCTGTGTTTCTCTTCAAGATAAAATTAATTTACCACTTTTACTGAAAACATAAAATCTTTAGCATTTAGACTATGACTTTGTATGATGGTCCAGATTCTGTCATTTGCATTTTTCAGTTATTTTTCCATGTCATTTTACAAATATACCAGAGTTGTAATGGCATCTATTATAAATTCATCTCTGTAACCTTGAAAAGAATATCACCATGTTACTGTATGAATCCTTTAGGAACCTAAAGTCAAGCTGAATACCACTGTTACACAAGTATCACAGAGAAAACATTCAAATTATTTTCAGAAGTGTGTGCTTGATTCTGGGGCTGTCTTAGTATGTTCTGTGTCCCTAAGTGTGTCACATAGATAAAGAAAGGAGAAAGGAGATGAAAACAACAATATTTGAAACACCTGTCCTAATCTTAGGTCATAATTAGATGATTTCCTTTGAGTTAGAGACGTGTGGGTCATGACCCATTTGTGTGTGTGTGTGTGTGTGTGTGTGTGTGTGTGTGTGTGAAGGTGTGTTTAAACAATCCTCTGCAGGGGTCACATATCAGATATCCTGCATATCAGATATTTAAATTATGATTCATATCAGTATCAAAATTACAGTTATGAAGTAGCAATGAAAATAATTTTACATTATTTGGGGGTCACCACAACATGAGGACCTGTATTAAAGGACCGCAGCATTAGGAAGGTTGAGAAGCACTGCTGTAGGGTCTTACAGCAACAATGCTTTGGGGAAACCTCATCTTTTAGAGATACTCTGTTCATTTCTGTCCGTGTTTGCTTGTTCGTTTTTGTTGCTGTTGCTGCTCTTTTCTGGCCTGCTTGTTTATTCATTTTTGTTTTAAGACAGTCTTGTGTCCAACTTTACTGAGTAGCTGAGACTGGCCTTGAACTCTTGATCCTCCTGCCTCCCAAGTGCTGGCATTACAGGCTGGCATCACCATGTCCAGCCTGCTGTTGTTTGTTGAGGGATTTCAGAATGTTGTGCTGATTCCTGAGAAGCTGCTAATTGAAATTTTCCTTCTCCTTCTCTTGGATGTGGGTATCAATGAAAGAGTAACTGTGTGACATAGACTTCTTTTCATTGACAGAGGATTTGAGATGCAAATTCCTCAGAAGAAGTATACTTTATATACCAACATACTTTCCAGTTGAATGTCACAATTGTTTTCATTTTTTTCCAAATTTAATCTCATTCAGTTATTTAATTACTAGAAAACAGCCTTTCTCATTTTTCTCTCCCTCCCTGTTTGGGTTTTCTTTTTAGAATTCTTCAAAGAACTACTTGAAAATGCAGAGAAATCCCTGAATGATATGTTTGTGAAGACATATGGCCACTTATACATGCAGAATTCAGAGCTATTTAAAGATCTCTTCGTAGAGTTGAAGCGCTACTACGTGGCGGGAAACGTGAACTTGGAAGAAATGCTAAATGACTTCTGGGCTCGCCTTCTGGAGCGCATGTTCCGCCTGGTGAACTCTCAGTACCACTTTACAGATGAGTACCTGGAATGTGTGAGCAAATACACAGAGCAGCTGAAGCCCTTTGGAGATGTCCCTCGGAAACTGAAGCTCCAAGTTACACGTGCCTTTGTTGCAGCCCGGACTTTTGCTCAAGGGTTAGCAGTTGCAAGGGATGTCGTGGGCAAAGTCTCTGTGGTAAGTTCTTTGTGCATATTCTGTGTTTTGAACTTTGGTTTGTTTGGTTTCAAAAGGAGGTTGGAGAAAGGTTCAAAAACAAGTCATTAGGGTTCCATTGGCTCAATAACAATCTTTTCTTGGTCTCTCACCTCCCACACTTTGTACATATGCATGAAATGCTTAGTGTTATCAGTGCTAAGGTAAGCTTTATTTTTGTTTTGTTTAGTTTATTTTTTTTTATTTCAAGATAAGGTTTCTCTGTGTAGTCCTGGCTGTCCTGGAACTCACTCTGTAGAACAGGTTGGCCTCGAACTCATAGAGATCAGCCTGCCTCTGCCTCCTGAGTGCTGGGATTAAAGACATGTACCACTACCCCCTGGCTAGGATGAACATCTTTATATATCATTGCTATTTTCTGTAGTTTCCTTGGTAGCCATTCTTAAATGGGATATATACATTGACTCCAAAATCTTAATTTCAAAAGATGACAAATCAACCTCCATCTGTTTTTAGTTCTTTCTCTCCTTGCCAAAGAATCCCCCTGTCCTCCCCCTCGGCGGCCACCCTTAGTTCTTTTGAATGAGCATGTTTGAGTCCACTAATTGCAGACTAGGAAATCATCACTATCCACGAGTGTTCGTTTCCTTACTCTAAAGTGTGTTCAGAGCTTCCGTGGCAATTACTGTGCACTATTCCAGTCTTGACCATGACTTTGGTTATAGGATTACCAGTACAGAAAACACCATTGCAACATGTGGTAAAATGAACCTCTTGTAAACGAAATGAGGTGGATTAGACTGGCATTTTTCAGACTGGTCCATGGAGCTATCTTAGAAGGGACTTCATGAGTCTCTTTTGTATTGGTGTGTGTAAGACTGAACATCTGTGCTTTAACTGCCATAGAGAAGCTTTGCTCTCCTAGATTTCTTGCAGTAGTATTTTGAGCAAGATTTCAAAGTGGAAATGGTTCACCCTTCAGTGAGATTTGCAAGCTTTTAGTTTCTGTAGCACTGGGAACAGAACCCCAGGGCATTGCAGATGTATAGTCAGTACTCTACCACTGAGCTGTAACCCTTAAGCCCCTGAACACGTTTGAAGGACCTTGGACTATTACACTCATATCAAGCACTTTGGAATTTAGGATTGCAGAAGGTGTTGAGTGTTCAGAGCTTTATGACTGAAGTGGGAGGGCCCAGCTCACTGTGGATGCTGCTGCTACCCTTGGGCAGGTGGTCTTGATTGGTATAAGAAAGCAGATTGAGCAAGCTATGGAGAGCAAGCTAGTACTCCTCCACGGCTTCCCCAGTGTGGACTGTGACCCAGGGTATGTAAGACAAACTTTCCCAGGTTGCTTTTAGTCATATCTATCACAGCAATAGAAACCTAACTTAAGACTTCTTTCATGACTTAATACTAGGGAAGAAGTGTATATACTGGGGCAAAGTTACCTTTGTCATACTGCTCTTAGGGCCCTTATTCTTGGGCTCCCAAGTGGGCGGCCAATTTGTAAGCCACTGTTTAAAGCCCTGTATGCACAGGCAGTGGCCTTTGCTTTTGTCATTTAGTTGTTTTCATGATTAGACTAAAGGTCAATGTGAAAACTGAACAGTACTACCGATACCAAAATACCTACCAGATTAACTATCACAGAATTCATCTACAGTTAGGATGGCCATGTAATTTATTATCCAGACCAAAGCACTGACTGTCTAAACCAACAGATGCTTATTAACAAACATAACCAGGCAACAGGGACCACTAACTGTTAATGAGCAACTAAGTGCACAGAATGTACTGTCACCTTAGTTAGAGAGGAAGCCGGTGTTTACCAGAGGGAAGCAAATGAGTCTAAAGACTAGCATGTTATAGAAAAGAGATGTTGATAATTTGGAGTTAGGAAATAATACATATCCACTTACTGATTCTCTCATCTCCAGGCTGTAAATTGTTAGGAATTTCTCTGCAGTATATTTTTTTGTCTACCCTCTCCTTTTCCTTCTGATACCTTCATTGTCTGTGGCAAATATTTGGTGGGTCATATGAATCTAAGGTAGTCAGAAAAACAATCTCAGTGCTGTCTACAGTCCAAAATTCTTTGGGGCCCATGTCATTGTCATGGTAGTTCACCCGACATATTTGCCCACTTTTAGCAATTCCTCATGTTCATCTTAAGATGAATGGGCAGAAAGGAGCCAATGTGTGGTGTAAATGTCCATATGTATGTGTGTACCTGTGTGCTGTGTGTACATTATGCAGAGAAAAATAGTGTGCAGCACTAAGTAAATGTTTGAAAAATACTTCCTTTACATTAATCAAATGTAGGTTATACTGTTAGGGAAAAAGAAAAGCTGCTTTTAATATAACTTCTTAAGGTTTTTGTTTGTTTCAGAATTTAGCTCTATTCTGTATTTATTTTATACTTATGACTTCCTAAAAGATAGTTCATAGTTTTATGGGATATATACAGTGAATACAAGCTAATTTACACAAGGCAAACGTTATTTGCCAACTACATGGCTGAAAAGTAACAGCATCAGGCTACATTAAATACCATGTTTGTAAATGGAAAATAAACAAACAAACAGATAAATAAATGGACTGTTTTGGCTTCACTATTGAATAACTTCCGTACTTAAGGGCTGATTTAAAACCAAATCCTTCAGCTAAGTTGGTTTATATTATTTGAATAACAATAGTAAAGCACATAGATGCCAAAACAAGAGTTGCATCAAATCTATCTGACATGGGATGTCTCTGTGTAGCAGTATTCCAGGCATTGTTACAGACTTGGGAACATATTTGTGGTATTAATTTTTGGAGTGTAGCTCTCAGTTAAGCAGAATTTAAACTTTAGCTATATAGAAAATATAGTAAGTGACCTAACTGTCAAAAATGTATTTCAAATTGTGTAAGCAGAAAATCCATACGATTAGCTTATAATTGTCTAGCAGTTTATATATTGAATAGTTTTTTTTTTCATGCCTACGGGTTCCTTCACCTGCTAACCTTTACCCAGTTGTTCTCCATGGAAGGAAAACAATTTAACATATGTAGTTTTTTGGTGCCTAATAAAATTAATGGCCTCCAACCTGAAAAAGGCCTTTCAGAGTAGGGAATGTATTTGCTGACTGAGAAGACCTGAACCACTTGGCTATAAAGAGATCTTTAAAGGCAAGCTGCGGAAGCTTGGCCTTGGGGCTGCTTGCTGAATGCTTAACTCAGAGATAGCCCCACTTTTTCTTGGGTGGACACCTTGCTTTTCCAGCTCTTTTGCTCTTCCAAGGTGAACAATGATTTGATCACCACAAAGCCTTCGAAAGGGCCATTAGCACCAGCAAGCTTTCTTTCCTTCCTTCCAGAGAAGGGCACTGCTTGGATGAAGTACTGCTGCTTTGCTTCATATTGGCTGGACCCAGCGGTGTCAGCACACCCCTTGGACCCTTACGACTCCAGCTGCAGAGAGACAGTTAGTATACTCTTAATTAGTAACAGATGGTTCAAGACTATCCTGCTGCTACACATCTTCGTATCACTTACTCCGTTGTTATCTGCCATGGTTCATGATGCATTTCTTACTTACCTGCTTGTCGCAGCAGTTTTGCCTAGAAGGGTGGAGTCTCTTGTGGTGCTTAAGAAATGCACAAGTGGTTACATGCACCAGGAAAATTAATAGCTCTTCTGCCAAAGAGATACATTCTCATGGTTTCAATTAACACTGGCATAATGGGACTGTGTCTATACCCGCACCCCAAACTACAGGAGCTATAATTAGACAATAGTGCCTTACCATAGAGATACGTGAATGACTCTCCTGCCTTAAACCGTTTCTGTGGCTCCTTCTTTACTTCCCTCTATTCTCCAATGATTTGGGGTACTAGACATTATTTTGTTATTTTCCCCACATCATTATAAATGTGAATAAGCTTTTAAGAAACCAAGTATAAACTTTTATCCTCCCATTAGTGGTATTTCTCAGTTGGACCCAAAGGCTAGAGTTGCAGAGGACATGGTAAGACTTGAGATATGGTGGAGACAGGCATAAGTATGTGTGCCAAGAGGATGAAGAGGTAAAGATCACAAACACCCTCCATCACACTAAGCGAATTAAATCAGTCTCAGAAAGGCGAATGCTGGGTATTTGCTTTGTGATTTCTAGATTTCATATAGCTGCTCACAATATACAGACATAGAACCACAAGAAGAGAAACTGTCTAGGGGAGGGAAGAGAGTGAGAAAGGGGAGCTTAGTCGGATATGTGAAGTAATGCTCAATGTACTTGTATGAAAATTATCTTTGGGTAAGAGTACCACGCGCAATGAATATATAGAATGAAAAACATAAAAAGAAGTACTGCAAAGTAGAAAAAGAACAAAAAAACGTAGAGTCTTCAAGGGAGTTAATATAATCTTATTTTCATTTATGGAGCATAACAGTTGAGTGATTTCAGACAAAAAATAAGACCCAGTTTCAGGTATTTGTACAGCTTCTATTCTATCTACAGTGTGCCAACAAATATTCTTGAGTGAGTTTGAGTTGATTCTGTACATTCTGCTTTCAAAATTCCCTTATCAGATCAACAGCGTGAGAGTCCCAGCCTTCCTTCTTTGTGTGTGCACTGAATTGGAAATGACTTAGGAAACTGCTGAATAAACTCATCGCATCCCACGGCAAGTGTGGGCTCCCTATCTCTTTCTCTTACCATAATTTGGTGAAATATTTCCTGGTGTTTTTTATTGGGTGCTTATGTTACCAGGCAACAGATGAAAATCGAGAGCTTTTCTGTTTGTTTGGTGTGAGTGGCTGTGCAGGAAAAAAAAAAATACATACACCAGGGGAGCAGGGGGAGCAGGGCAGCGCACAGCAACAAAAGCGTGCTCGGAGCTGGAATAAACTACAAGGCAGTGTGTTTCTGAGCTGAGTGCAGCGTGCTGCCTGCCACTGCTGTGTGATGTGGCTTAAGGCTCGTTCTGAATCTCTGCAATGAAATCCAGGCCATGGGAAGAGCTCTGGACTAGCAT